AACTGCAGACACCATGTTCTGTGGGGCAGGCAGCCGCCTCTCAGCTCTCACTCAGCGTTTATGTAGCTGGTGTTCGCTAAGTGCCAGGTGGCCAGTGCAAGGTGTGGGGTACTCACAGGGAAGCAAACAGACAAGGTCCCTGCTCTCACAGAGCTCATACGCTCTGTCCCCAGCCCTGTCTCTCTTCTTCCAAGCCTGGAATAGGGCAAGAACCCTCCAGTCACAGGGGGTTCCACTGGCAGACAAGGCATTCGGGCCTGACGTATAGCATGGGGCTCTGGCAACACATGGTGCCCAGCTCACAGCCAGCTTGTCTTCAGTGGAGAAAACAGCCCCAGGCTCTATTAGGGAAGTTGTCCATTCAAGGCACAGCCCAGAGCCAGGCAAACTCCAAAGCAGCCATCAGCAGGCAGTCCGGAGTGGAGAAAAATGGTTTGCTCTGGGGTCAGAAAACCCAATTCCTCCACTTAGTAGCTAGACAGGGACTCACTATAAACTCTTTTGCACACTTTTGGAAAATGGTGATAATAACGATAGTTAATGTTTATAACATCATGTGCCTGATGCTACTGGATGCACTTGACAGATACTACTTAACCCTCATTACAACCTTATGCAGAGGTACCGCTATGCTAAGGCAGTCTGGCTCCTAACTCTATTTTCTTGTACTATGCTGCCTCCAGCCTAAAGTTGAACCTACCTTGTCAGGCTGTGGTGAGAACCATTCTAACAGAGTGCATAGCACATGGCTGATGCTCCATAACCATTAAGCCTCCCCTTCCTTCCACTGAGACGTGAATCTCTGAAAGCCTAGGTCTGGAAATGGCATGGCTCTAGCTGGTCCCATTATGGGTGATCTTGCAGTTGCACCCCCTGGAATTCCACACTGCACCCTTACTGGTGGATCTGCTACAACGGGAAATGGGACAAGATCCTGTATTTATGGGACCCTCTGCTCACTGCTTCTGGAAAACACAGTGAGTGGGGTCCAACACAGTGAGTCAGGCTGACGTGGATCCGAATCCCAGGCCTACTGTTCACGCCGGTCACTCAAGCTCTCACTCTTGTGAGTAAAACGGGGGCTGGGCTATAACCTAAGTCATGTTTCTGGGTCAGGTCCCTCAGCGACCCAGGTTGGACATGCTGGACAAAGCTACCCAGACTGGAGAGGCTAGACTTCCACGGTACTGTAAGGTTTCATTTTGGGACCCCAGAAAGCCTTGGCTGTGCAAAGGAGCGAGCGGACTGCGTGCACGTGCAATTCAATTCCAGCCAATGGCAGACACAAGAGCAGGCACACCCCAAAAGACCTTGGAGTGGAGCCTGGCACGAGCCCCAACTTTCTCTTCAGTTTCCTGCCATAGCTCAAGCAGATGTGCCTGCTGTTACACTGAACAAGGCTCTTTCCCCCTTAAACTTTAGGTAACAGTGACACGCCCACCCCTCAACTATGTGAGCTGTGAGGGCAGAGATCCTTGTCTGTCTTGCATCCTCCGCACATAAACAGCACAGAGCAGGCACTTGATACACAAAAAGCTGAATTAACATTACCCTGTAGCTTCAGGTACCCCACCACGTGCCTCAGTATTTGCCTAACAATAAGCCTTTCCCAGCCTTGAGGGCAGGCTTCTAATGGGTGAGGCACCTGCCCTGCCACCATTTCCCTGTGGTCAGTCATATGTCCTGTTCCCCGACTCATGGAATGGAATGTAAAAGTATAGGACGTGGGGGTTATAAATAGGAGTATCTGCTTTCAAAGGCATGGCTTATCATTTCCTTAATCTCAAGCCATTGATCACTGGCTACTTTTTATAAGCATGCCACCAAAAAGAGGCCAGGTGGGCTCAAACGAACAGGACTGTATAGACAGACAAGAGGGATGTGAGTTGAACAATGTATCTTACCCACACCAAGAGACATTAATGTCAACTATGTTGTTTCACCTTGTAACAATACCAAGTTCCCATCAGCTCCTGCCAGGCAAAACCATCTGTGAGCTGGAGAAGCGATTCCTGAGGGGGCCTCCCTAGTCCCCCTTCCTGCTAAAAGCCTCACCATCATAACTAAGAATAATTCCCAAGTCAGAAGCTGGAGCTGCGTAAGGAACAGTGCTCTGAAATTGTACAGCACTCGAGCAGTGGTAAGACTATTACCTGCTAAGGGAATGCAAATAAATTCCATCTGTCTATGCATTTTAACTGAGAAGGAGAAACTCATGCCAACAAAAATCATGGCATTCACTCCAAAGTCAAATGCTTTTTAGATTCTCAAGCCACTATTTCCCTCAATGGGTAACAGAGATCTAGCTGTATTCCCTACCATCGAATCTACTGAAAATGAAAAACACGGTGATCTGATTTCATTTACCTTCAATGCAACCTCACACCACTACTTCTGTCCTACTCCAACCATCTACACTGGCTTAATGGTCAGAGTATTCAAATAGGGGATAAACCTAACAATAAGCAGTCAGAAATTACAAGCCTAAGGGATACGAAGAACAAGTGACCGAGAGAATGAATATGAAATCCAAGCAGGTAAGTTCATGGACACAGACACATCCCAAAGAGAACATTCCAAGCGGTTTCTTCCAATGCCAGATGCTGTTCTAGGCCCCATGGATACAGCTGTGGAAAACACAAGACAAAAATCTCTGCCCTCCAAGAGCTCATTCTGGCCCATGTTAAATATGCCTGTACCACCATACAGCTATTTCACTATAACATGATTTTCTACACAAAGGATTTAAAATACAAACCATGGGCAATAAATACTGCTCCTCCCCCCTTGCCGTGTTTGAATATCCCATTCTATGTTTTTCAAACGGTGTCATTAAACCTCCTGACATATAAGCAGCTTGGTACAATGGGAATAACAGTTTAGAGCCCGCCAGATGGGCTTCCACTGACCAACAGTGGATCCTCCACTGGCTGGGCAACACCTTGAATAAGTCACTCCACCTCCTGAGCCTCAGCTGCCTCATCAATCAAATGGGAACAGCCCCAGAAGGGCTTCATGTGGATGAAACCAGCTTGTACAGGTGAAGCACACCACAGTGACTGGCAGACAGACAGTTCCTCCACCCTTTCCAGTCTTTTCAGATGAGAGCCGAGTACAAGACTCCTGAGAAGCTTCAGGTGTCATGTGCTCCTCCTGGGGGACTGGGGCACTTTCCTATCACCTGGGGAGCATCACCGTTTCCTGCCGCATACTTTGTCTTCAGTGCACACTCAGCACACTCACGAAACTTCAGCCCACTTTCAAAGTCCTCACCCAACACTGCCCTGGAGAAGTTGTACTCCACCCAGACCTGGGGCCAAAACAAGACCTCCCCAAACAAGGAGTTTTCAGCCAACGTTACTGGAGAAATCCGAAGGCCTTAAAAGTGGCATTGCCCCTGTTTTTAATCAGCATACAGGAGGGTATCAAAAGAAAGCTTAACTCATCTCAACTCCTCACCCTCGTTCAGCAGCAACATCCCTTGACTAAACAAGGAACCAGGGTCCTCAAAACACTTTGAGGCCCAAAGTCCACATACAAATATGCTCCAAAAATCCCTTGACCCTGTCAGGAAGTTCTCTGGCCCTTCCAACCTAAGTGCTGGGCCTGTCCTGCGGAATGGTCAAGAGGCAGGAGTGCAGGTCTATCTGTGGGGGCCTATGTGAAGCCCCAGGTTCCTCAAAAGTCTGGATAGCATCTGCCTTCTTTACCAAATCAAACACTACGAGTGGAGCCAGCACTCTCCCTCGGAGTTCTGCTCACCTGATCCGAGGGACTTCCATAATCAGCAGTTCCAACCCTTACAAGCTGACAGTTCAGAGGGAAGGGGAGGCTGCGCCTGCTCGGGTGCATGGTGTCCAGGCCATATGCTGGATCCTGGGCCTGGTGGCCCCCCAAGCCCATGGCCTCACAAGGGCGATTGTGCGTTCATCCTTGTCCTGTGGGCCACCCACCCTCAGCCCTCAGCTTCCACTCAGGCCTGGGCGCCGCGGACCCCGGCCCGCCCTGCAGGACGCTTCGCAAGCACAGCACCCACGGCGGCGACCTCAAAAAGGGCCCGCAGCGCAGCGCGCTGCCTTCTGGGCACACCGATGCCCGCCCTTCCCTCGCTGGCTCCCAAGCAGCCTCCCTAGAAGGGGCAACTGAGAAGGCACTGCACCGGGACCACCCCATCCCTGCTGGAGAGTTCCCCTCGCTTCCCGAAGGCTGCAAAGAAGGCGCGCCCCAGGTACAGGGAAGGGTACCCTGGGTCGTGCACGGGGCAGGGGGCAGGACCCTGGTGAGAGGGTCAGGGCGGAGACCGAACGGGGCTGACGCAGGTTACGCTAGGAGTGGCGAGAAGTCCAGGGAAGGGGATCACGGTGGGGAGGCGGCAGTGAGGTCCAGGCGGGGCCATGGGCGGAGGAGAGGAGGTCCAGATTTAAGATCACAGAGGGATGAGGAGATTCAGGCTGAGGCCACGGAGAAGAGGGGAAGCAAACCTAGACCGCTGCAGGAAGGGCTGACGCGGGTCCAGCCTGAGGCCATGGAGAAGGCAAGGGAGGGAGGGAGGCAGCGGCCTAGCCTGGGCCATGGCAGGGAGAAACGACGGCCTAGCCTGGGCGGGAGAGACGGGGGAAAGCAGACCTAGCCCTAGACCGGGGGTGGAAGGGGGCCCACGCCAGGGTCACCGGGGGGGTGCCTGGCTGGGGCCACGGTTCGGGAGGGAGGGTCTAGCCTGGGCTATGGGAGAGACCAGCCTGGACACAGAGGTACTGAGTGGGACTCCAGCTTGTGCCAAGGGCGAGGACTGGGAGCGGGGGCAGGGTCACTGCCACCCAAGTCGTCCGCGCCGGCTGCACCCTCCTGGGCGGGGAGGGACCGGGTCCACCCAGGGTCCGGGACCCCGCCCCTCCCCCACCCCGGGAAGCCACCAGTCCCGGGCCACGGATGGGCCGGGGGAGGGGGACGCGAGCTCCGGAGGGGCCCTCGGGCCGGGGAGGGGGCCGTGCGGCCTTTACCATGGTGGCGGCGGCGGCGGCGGTCCCGGTCCCGGCGTCAGTGGCTCTCCCCCCCGCAGTAGGGCCCGGCGCTTCCACTTCCCCGGGTGCCCAGGAGTGAACATCCGGGTCAGCGCCCCCCTCCCCCCGCGCCGGGCCGCCGCCACCTTCCTTCCCCGCCCCGGCCCGGCCCGGGCCCGCCCCCCACGCCGCCAGCTCGCGGCCAATGAGCGCGCGGGGCTGCGGCGATCGCCAAGTATGGAGAGCGGCGCGGGAGGCGGGCGCCGACGGGGTGCGGGGGCGGGGTCTGCGCGGCGGGGCGGGGAGCAACGCGGCTCGCCTGCCGGGGGTCCCGGGCCCGGGGTACGGGGCTCGGGCCGGAGGGGTGTCCGCGCTGTTGGAGGTCCAGTACCCGACTCTGGGCCTGCAGCAGCGGGTGTCGGCGAGGGAACCGCGCCCCACAGTCCCCGCGGGCGGGGATGCGGAAGGCACCGGGGCTGTGAGGCGACCGGCCCTCTGCGCCCCACCCCGTGCACGCGCTCATTCCTGCGGCGCACCCGGAACTGCCGCCGAGCGCTGCCCGGCCCGGCCCAGCCCAGCCCAGTACGGGGCGAGCGCGCCGGGAGCTGGGCCGGAGCCCAGCGCTGCTGCTCGCTACGGCGGGACCTGGAGCGCCGCGCTGCACCTGAGCCCGGGCAGGAATTGAGGAGCCTCGGGCTGACACCATTTATTCAGCACCTACTATGTACCAGGCCTCGTTTAGGCACCGGAAGATAACAGATGAATAATAAGACATAAAGATCGTATAGCTGCAGACAGAATAGCTGTGAGGATGACACAGGTAGAGATTAGAAAATTAAGTTCAACAGGCCGGGCGCGGTGGCTCACGCCTGTAATGGAGGTGAGGCACTTCGGAAGGCCGAGGCGGGCCAAGGCCAAGAGATGGAGACCATCCTGGCCAACGTGGTGAAACCCCGTTTCTACTGCAAATACAAAAATTAGTTGGGCGTGGTGGTGCCGACCTGTAGCCCCAGCTACTCGGGAGGCTGAGGCAGGAGAATCGCTTGAACCCGGGGGCAGAGGTTGCAGTGAGTCGAAATCGCGCCACGGCACCCCAGCCTGGCGACAGAGCAAGACTCTATCAAAAAAAAAAGAAAAGAAAAAGAAAATTAAGTTCAACAAATGCTGACTGTTATGAGTACTGTTGGATGTGCTGCAGAGAACCATTCCATTTGCCCAGACGGGCTTCCTCTCTCCACAAGATGACTCAAGTTTCTCTCTCCCAATATCTCTCTCTCTCTCTCTCTCTCCTCTCTCTCTCTCCCAATCAAATATTTGTTGAGCTTAGTCTAGGTGGCAGGGAACCTGGATTGCTAATAATATCTGCCCTCCGTGGCCTGTTTGCTTTGGTTAAATCAAATTAGGCGATCTGTGAGGGCATGGTAAACGGTACAGATGACAGGAATTGTTTCCCTGAGCCAGGCCCTGTCCTCAGGGAACTCATAGACAAGTAAAACCTTTCACAGGTAGCCACTGGCGGAAAAAGCATAACGGGTAAGTCTCACAAGAATAGTATTGGATGAGTATTACAGGAATTCAAAGAAGAGAATGGCACAAGTAGTAAGTATTTATTGAGCATCTGCTATGTGCCAAGTACTGTGCTAGGCTCTGGAAATACAGCAATGAGCAAAACAACCCGAGCTTGAGTGTTGTCAGGGAGACAGTCGGCCACCAGGCAAATACAGTGTCCGAGGCCAGGCACAGTGGCTCACGCCTGTAATCCCAGTACTTTGGGAGGCCAATGTGGGCGGATCACGAGGTCGGGAGATCGAGACCATGCTGGCTAACAGGGTGAAACCCTGTCTCTACTAAAAATACAAAAATTTAGACGGGAGTGGTGGTGGGCGCCTGTAGTCCCAGCTACTGGGGAGGCTGAGGCAGGAGAATGGCTTGAACCGGGGAGGCGGAGCTTGCAGTGAGCCGAGATCGCGCCACTGCACTCCAGCCTGGGAGACAGAGTGAGACTCTGTCTCAAAAATAAAATAATAATAGTAACACAGTGTCGGGTAGTGATTAGAGATAATGAGAAAAATTCAAGCAAGCAAATAGGTAAGCAGGCAAGGCCTAACTTAGCAATATTTGATCATATAGCTGAAGGGAAGGAGGGAGCAAGCCACATGGATAGCAGAGGCACAAGGAGCAGCAAGGGTTAAAAACCCTGAAGGTGGGACTGTGCTGGATCAGCATTGGTGTGTTTTCAAGGGACAGACAGGAGGCCAGTGTGGCTAGCCTAAGTCGAGCAGGAGCTGAAGGGCAGAGCCATGACAAGATCTGACCTAGGCTTTAAAAGGATCATGAGGCTGCTGTGTTCTGAATGGACTGTAGGGGGACTAGGGCCTTAGAAAGACATTTCTATATTGAGGATATTTATTTATATAAAAAGCACTGATATGGTGCATCCTATGTGACGAACACTGTTAAGCACCTTACAGATAATAAGTCATTTAATCATGACAAGCCTGAAAAGGTAAGGAGCTTGCCCAAGGTCACACAGCAGAGAGATGAAGCTGGCTTGGACCAGGGTAGTAGCATTGGAGATGGCAAGAAGTAGATAGTATTCTAGATATTTCCTGATGTATTGGTGGTAGGCATGAGAAGAAAGGAATCAAGGATGATGCTAAGATTTTTTTTTTTCTTATAAAAAGACGTTGTCTTGTTTGTTTGTTTGTTTTGGGACAGTGTCTCAGTTCTGTTGCCCAGACTGGAGTGCAGTAGTGCAATCATAGCTCACTGCAGCCTCAAGACCCCCAGGCTCAGGTGATCCTCCCACCTCAGCCCCCTGAGTAGCTGGGACTACAGGCGTGCATCACCCTGCCCGGCTAATTTTTTTGTAGAGACTGAGTCGCACTGTTACCCAGGCTAGTCTCGAACTCCTGGGCTTAAGCAGTCCTCCCACCTCAGCCTCCTAAAGTGCTGGGATTACAGGTATGAGCCACTGCACCCAGCCAAGACTTTGTTTTTTAGAGCAGTTTTAGGTTCACAACAAAACTGAGAGGAAGATACAGAGATAATCCACATATCCCTGCCCTACATATGCAGAGCCTCCCCAAATTGTCCCCATTCCCTACTAGAGTGGTACATCTGTTGCAATTAATTAACTGCATTCATACATCATGATCACCTAATAGTTTACATTAGGGTTCACTCTGTTATACACTCTATGAGTTTGGACAAGCGGATAATTACATCTAGCCACCATTAGAACCATCATACGGAATATTTTCACTGCCCTAAAAATCCCCTGTGTTCCACCTCTTCATCCCCCTGCCCCCTAGCTCCTGGCAACCACTGATCTTTTTACTCCATAGTTTTGCCTGATGCTAAGATTTTTGGCTTGACACTGGACGGATTTGCCATTTATTGATCTGGGGAAGACTGTAGGAGGAGCAAGGTTTTTCCGAGGGGAGGGTTGTGGATAAGAGGGAGCAAGTTATGTTTGAGATGCCTATTGGAGTTTTTGTTTGTTTGTTTGTTTGTTTTGTTTTTTTTGAGATGGAGTCTCACTCTGTCGCCCAGGCTGGAGTGCAGTGGTGCAGTCTTGGCTCACTGCAGCCTCCATCTCCTGGATTCAAGCAATTCTCCCACCTCAGCCTCCCAAGTAGCTGGGACTACAGGCGTGTGCCACCACACCCAGCCGATTTTTGAACTTTTAACAGAGACAGGGTTTTACCGTGTTGGCCAGGCTGGTCTCGAACTCCTGACCCCGCCTTGGCCTCCCGAAGTTCTGGGATTAGAGACATGAGCCACTGTGCCCAGCCTCCTACTGGAGATTTAAATGGAGATGTCAGGTGGGCGTGGTGGCTCACACCTGTAATTCTAGCACTTTGGGGAGGCGGGTAGATCGCTTGAGGTCAGGAGTTTGAAACCAGCCTGGTCAACATGGTGAAACCCTGTCTCTACTAAAAATACCAAAATTAGCTGGGCTTGGTGGCACATGCCTGTAATCCCAGCTACTGAGGAGGCTGAGGCAGGAGAATTGCTTGAACCCAGAGGTGGAGGATGCAGTGAGCAGAGATTGCGCCACTGCACTCCAGGCCGTGTGACAGAATGATACTCCATCTCAAAAAATAAAAATAAAAATAAATAAATGGAGATGTCAAGTAAGTAATTAGATATGGAAGTCTGGATTTGGGGGAAGAAGTCAGAGCTGTGATAAACTTACGAGAACTGCCGGCTAGTAAATGGCATTTAAAGACATTTGAAAGCACAGACATCTTGATGAACTCACTTCATGGGTGAATGTAGAGAGAAGAGGTCATGAAGATAAAGAGGAACCAGCAGGAAGACTGAGAAGGAATGACCCATGAGGCAGGAACAGGACCAAGAAAAGGTGGTGTCCCTCTTGGATGCCAAGGGATGGAGGCCAAGCATGAAGGAAAGTTCATTCATTGGACGGGTCACTCCACAGATTGGCTGCCCATTGCTCAGATCCTGCCCCTAGATCCATCAGCTATTGCTATGAGCATGGAGGCACATGGCATTAAACATGGTCATCTACAAGAGGTTGTGAATTGGTATACAGGCACTGTAAATTTTTTTTATTTTAAATTTTTTTGGCCAGGCATGGTAGGCAGGCATTTTCGGCCAGGCATTCCCGTAATCCCAGCACTTTGGAAGCCTAAGTGAGAGTATTGCTTAAACCTAGGAGTTCAAGACCAGCGCAGGTGACAAAGTGAGACCCCCGTCTCTATAAAAAAAATCAAATAGGCATGGTGGCACATGCCACTGGTCCCAGCTACGCAGGAGGCTGAGGCAGGAAGATTCCTTCAGCCCAGGAGATTGAGGCTGCAGTGAGCCGTGATTGCACCCTGCATTCCAACCTGGACAACAGAGGGAGACCCTCGTATCCAAAAAATAATAATAATAACTTTATAATTTAAATAGGGACAGGAACTGACCATGTTGGTTGGTGATCCTCCTGCCTTGGCCTCCCAAGTGTTTGGGTATCAGGTGTTAGCCACAACATCCAGACCATAAATATCTTTAGCACTGTTTCTCCTCTCATCCTCTTTTAAAGACCCTAACCCCCTTGAAATTCATACTGTCATATTTTTCAACCTGCCACCCCTTTTTTCACTCTCATGAACTTACCTCCATCTCCCCTTCCACACTTTCTTTGGGACTTCAGTACCCGTAAGCATAATCCACCAGAAATCTTACTG